AAATAAGTATTTAAAAAAATCGTGATATATGCAAAATACTAGAATCTCCTTGTATTCTGACTTATCAAGTAACAGATCTGAAACAAAGTACTGCAAAGCATGAACTTTCAGGAAAGCTAGGAATTAGTCTAAACTGACAATAATATTCCCACTATCTATCATCCACGTGACAACTTTGAAGTATAGAAACCATCTTCGATCGAAGCACGTGACGCTATTTCTGTCTCAAGTATGAGAACTTCTATCGACGAAGTAGTCGGAGGATCAATTTATCATATGCATGATTAATGTTCGGATAATTGGCATTCAAGGTACATGCCAGTTTCGAACTCCATGCAAATGCTGTTAATAATTATATGGAGGGTATTCAGTGCATTGATTACGGAATGAAAGATGAAATTATCGAATCAATGTTGTTAGCAATAAAATCGATTAATCTGATATTACCCTCTCTCTTATTAAGTAACATTGTTTTGATTTATTAATGTTAAATTTCACTTGGTTAACGTATGATTAATTCCATAAATGAATGCGGCTATTTATACGCAAATATTATAAGCATACGTGTCGAATTCGAATATATGAATATTCATTCTGTGTAACTCGATGTATATTAGCATTGTTTGATGGAAAGGTAGTTTAGCAAGTTGCTGCTAAGCAAGCAGAATTTTGAACGCGCGTGAAATGAACCGACTTCGTCAACGCTCTTCTACAGTCGTCGAGTGTACTTATACGCTTGAGACAGAGTGTTGTGGCCTGCTTCATTGACATTGGCTCGCCGATTTACGCCGCTTTTGTCTCCCCGTCACCGCCTGTTTGAACTTCTGTTGCGACCAAAGGAAACGCCCCTATTGGGTTCGCAGAAAAAAAGGTACGACAGCTGCAAATAGCATTCCGATTTCGCTACCAGCGATTGTTGTGTAAAAGTCAATTCACCCTTGAAATTAGGCTATTATTACTTTTTACAAGAAACTGTCGTCGCGGCCACTAGCATAATTATTATCAATGATGTAAAATATAAATTTTGCAAAATGAGACATATAAAAATTTAAAAAATCTGTAACTTCCTAATATATTATAATTGTGCAAATGAGTTAATTAATATTAGATCACTTGGTACATTGTTTTATTAGTGAACTTTATATCTTTAACGAAGAAAAGAGAAAGACTTCAAATTTACGTGTGATTCGTATTAAAATTATACAATTATGCTAAATAATTTAATTCAATAAAGATGAGTTGTAGAAAGAAGAGAATAAGGGTGAGAGATGGATCTTTAGAACCATGTTAAGCAACATTTGAGCAATGGTCCACTGTAAATGGCCGAAGGGTGCGGCGGCAGTAACAATCGTCAAAGAGCGCTGGTATCGATGGACCGTGAAATTTCGCAAAAAGAGGGAAGTTTCTTATCGAACGAGGAATGCCGAGTAAGGAGCGTCCAGTCCGAAGCCTTAATTGGCAAGAAGGATAGGAAGAAAGGGCACGAAAGCGTGGCGTGGGTGCAAGAGGCAATTGTCTCGGTTCCGAGCACTCCGATCGACAATAGACTGGGTTCGAAGCTTTTTTAGCAAGCAGCTGCCTCTTCGATTGACCCACTTTCGATGGAATCTCGAGTTCTCGCGTTTGTCCTATTACGGATGCTCCATAAAAGCCTGTTCCCACTGACCGTACGCTGTAGTACGGTTGCAAGAACATTACTGGCTGAGGATCGTCATGGACGTGAAGCACAGTGCCCTAGTCGTAAGTTTGATGTATAGGTAAAAGCATGGATGTAAAAGCAGGAGAATTTTTCAAAATTCATGTGTTTAAAGTCATATTTGTACAGCTAATTAATAAAGAAAATAATACTATCTACTACTAGGTAAGACATTCAGTAGAACATAACAATTATTTGTCTATTCTTATTGGTGCATGCTTGAAA